CACACACACATACACACACACACACACACACACACACACACACACACACACACACACATACACACACACATACACACACACACACACACACACACACACAAAAGGCACATGAGTGTTTACATCAGCTTCTTTCATAATTCCCAACACTCAGAAGCAACTAAAAATGAGTAAACAAGCCAGGTGGTGGTGGCACATGCCTTTAATCCCAGCACTTGGCAGGCAGAGGCAGGCGGATCTCTGTGAGTTCAAGGCCAGCCTTATCTACAAAGCAAGTTCCAGGACAGTTAGGACTGCTACAAAGAGAAAGCCTGTCTTGAAAAATTAAAAAAAAAATGAGTAAGTAACAAATGAATGAGTAAAGTCTGTTCTTTCTAGACAATAGGATGCCCATTCAACATTGGAAATGAATAAGCTAGCAAACCATTAAAATATACAGAGGCAAATTAAGTGTGCATTGATCAATCTGCAGAGGCTAGATATTGTATGTTTCCAAATAAATGGCATTCTGGGAAATACACAAAGATGGTGTAAAAGTCATTATTTGGCAAAAATTTTGAATAATGGAGAGATTAAAACATGGAACTAATTTGTATTTTTTATGACATGAAGCTGTTGTGAGCCAATAATAATGGGAATAATATGTCACTATACTTTTGACCAAACTCACAGAGGATACAGCCTCAAAGGGCAGATGTAATTCTCCTAACAGCAATCTCTGAAGCCTCCAGAAGGAAGATGGGGCCCCACAACAGCGATTCTACCTGGTTCATATTGAATCCATTGAGCTGATAGACACCACTCAGTGATAGGCTTTGGACTGCAGACTGTTCAGGACGGTTCCAAGATGGCTAGCTGAGAAGGCCCATCATATTATACTTCTAGCCAGAACTTCAGATAAGTTTTACCCATAACTCAGAGACTGACTACAAATATTAAGTCCAGTTCCTATGAGACCTAACCATTGCTTTAGTTTTTCACAGGATCCCACAGAGATACCATCGCCCCCTTCCCCCCAGACAGCAGGAAGCAATTCTAAGAAAACTACGCCCCCTCTCCCAGAAGGTTTTGTTTTCTCGAGATATGGATAATTGCCATCTGTTAGGGGTTGGTTTTAAGTTGTAATAGGGTTGGGGGTGGAACAATAAAATTTAGACTCAGTATTCTCCTTTAGAAAAGAAAAAGGGAAATGGATAGGTATATACTAAGGTAGATTATTGTATCTCCTAGTAAACTGATTTAGCAAACTATCAGCCTTGGATAATTTGCACTGATATGGATTCTTGTATATTTGATACAAATGTAAACTATTCTTTTTTTTTTTTTTTTTTTTTTTTTTGCAATACAATTCAGTTCTACATATCAGCCACGGATTCCCTTGTTCTCCCCCCTCACCTTCCCCCCAGCCCAACCCCCATTCCCACCTCCTCCAGGGCAAAGCCTCCCCCGAGGACTGAGATCAACCTGGTAGACTCAGTCCAGGCAGGTCCAGTCCCCTCCTCCCAGGCCGAGCCAAGCAACCCTGCATAGGCCCCAGGTTTCAAACAGCCAACTCATGCAATGAGCACAGGACCCAGTCCCACTGCCTGGATGCCTCCCAAACAGATCAAGCCAATCAACTGTCTCACCCATTCAGAGGGCCTGATCCAGTTGGGGACCCCTCAGCCATTGGTTCATAGTTCATGTGTTTCCATTCGTTTGGCTGTTTGTCCCTGTGCTTTATCCAACCTTGGTCTCAACAATTCTCGCTCATATAAACCCTCCTCTTTCTCGCTGATTGGACTCCCAGAACACCAGTAGCACAGACACTTGAGAGAAACAATCAATCAATGGGACCTCTTGAAACTGAGAAGCTTTTGTAGAGCAAAGGATACGGTCAACAAGGCAAAGTGACAGCCTACAAAATGGGAAAAGGTCTTCACCAACCCCACATCTGACAGAGGACTGATATCCAGAATATATAAGGAACTCAAGAAATTAGACATCAAAATGCCCAACAGTCCATTTAAGAAATGGGCTATAGAACTAAACAGAGAATTCTCAACAGAGGAAACTCAAATGGCTGAAAGACTTTAAGGAATTGCTCAACATCCCTAATCATCAGGGAAATGCAAATCAAAACAACTCTGCGATACCACCTTAGGCCTGTCAGAATGGCTAAGGTCAAAAACACTGAAGACACCTTATGCTGGAGAGGATGTGGAGCTAGGGGAACTCTCCTCCACTGCTGGTGGGAATGCAAGTTTGTACAACATAATGGAAATCAATGTGGTGCTTTCTTAGAAAATTGTAAACTATTCTTATATTCCTATTTAAGATAATTTGTATATTGATACAAAAACAAAACTATATTTGTCGTATTGTACACATGTTCCTACTCCTATTTGAAATATTTTGTATATTGATACAAATGTAAAATTATATTTGCCATGCTGTATGTATGTTCTACCTCTGTTTAGGATATTTTGTATATTGATACATATTAAGGATATTGTTACCATATTGCACTATACATTTCTAACTCAGTTTAAGAAATTTTGTGTATTGTCACAATTTTGAGGTCATTGTCCTTATATACTACATCTGTTTACAGACTGTTTATCTTATTAATGTGAAGCTTTAGTCCTTAGGTTATTTATGTAGAGAAGACTTACTGATTTATAGTCACCCGTGCTTGTCATTTCTATAGTTATGTTAGTTACATTCTCCAGATTTACAGAAACATATGTCAGATGGATAGGTAATCTTCAAACACTTCATAGACCTAGAGAACATGACATTTAAATGTTTTGATAACTTAGAATTCTGTTGATGTGAGACACGATTGCTCCTGGCAGTACTGATATGATCCCAAGAGAATGTTGAACTTCTAAGATATTTTTGTTTAGAAGTTTGTCTTCTTCTTGGCACACAATGGCCTGCTGGGCAAAGAACTGCCCTTGCTTCGACTGCTGACAGTACGAATGCTGTCCTTTCCAGACGAGCAGGACACAAGGAAAAGTGACTACTGAACTCTGCTATGACAGGATAAGATGGTCTTTCAAAATTCTTGCTTCTGAAAATGGTCTGTCAGATATTCTAGGCCTGTAACCAAATTGGATGTCCTAACAATGCTGAGAAACTTTAGGTGACTGTCCAGGCTGCCAGCTGTCTCTGTCTATTCTCACAAGAATTTCAGAAATTGCTTGCTTGCATTTTCTGTTTTCTCAGGTATAATTATGTTCCTTCTCAGGTCTTTGATGGAGTTGAAGACTGGATAGCTACAGTTACAATTTTCTCATATCTTAACTAGAACATATTAAGTACTAGAGTTAGAATCTTCAGGACAGGACAGCTATTGGAGGAATCTTTGTCATTTACCATTTACTTTAATGATCTGGACATTTAGCATGTCTTTCTTGTTTGATGTTGTGCTTGTTTGTTGTAGTTTCATTTTTGTTTATGTTATTACCTTTTGTTTTTCCCGAACAATACTTGATAATCATTCTTATTGTACATAGTTTGCATTAAGTTTTGAATCTTCTTATTTAGACAAAAAGGGGAAATGTAGTGGTATTTGCTCCACCCATGACCTTGGGCTATAGGGCCTGAAGGAGGTGGTGCTTCCTGCCATTGTATGTGACCTCTTAAAAGGTAAGGGAGAAGAGTCACGAGTCACAGAGCCCCTTCTCCCTCCTGCCTGCTTCCTGGTCTGATTGAACTGCCAGGTGGATTGGCTCCTAGTCAAATCAGAGGACAACTTCAGTTGTCTACTCTGTTCTGTATTCATGAGCGTATTTCCTCACTTACTCATTAAATAGACTCTCGTGGATTGATCTTCATAGGCAGGATTTTAATGCAAACCATGGACCCTGAGGGATAATGATATGTCATTGTCATTGTAGATCATCAGTGACACCAGGCATGCAACTTTGCTGGGGGTGCTGATGAGGGTGCATGTGTGTGTGGGGGGGGGGTTGACAGTGAATGGGATCTCTGTACGTTCTCCTAACCTTTGCTTGAACCTAAAAATAGCTTTTAAAAATAAAGACTATTAATTCTCTTAAAGGAAGAAAAAGTCAATGCCTAACACCAAAAAAAATTGTTAGGACAATTAATAAAAGCAAGATAATGAGATATCTAGCATATAATCAGTACTATCTAAAACTTAGTATCCTTGGGACTGGCAAGATGGCTCAGGAGTTAAGAGTACTTGCTGCTCTTGCAGAAGACCCAAGTTTGATTCCCAGCACCCATATTGGTTGGTTCACAGCTGTCTCCAGGTCTAGGAGATTTAATTCCCTCTTCTGACCTCCTGCACCTGCATGTATGTAGTACATACAAATACACTCAGACCCACGCCCCCCTACACACACACAACAAACATGCATAAAATAAAAATTTTTAAATCTTTTTTAAAATTTGTATCCATCCCTTATCTCAAAGATAAGTGTAGCTTCCTACCTTATTAAAGAATCTTGTTTTTACAGAACACAGAGGTCATTGCAGAAAGTCACAATTGGTTCAATTGACAAGAGCAACTTATAGTTGGGTGCCTAGCATTAACTGATATGTCTACAACACTATCCCTATGACTAAGGCTTGGGAAATGTCACAGGAGAGAGGGTGGAAATTTTGTAAAAGCCAGCAGACCAAATCATTTTCTAGGACATTTGTCTTCCAAATATGATATGAAGGCTGCACCTTTGGTATCTGAACAATATGCTTGCCTTAACAAGACCTGAACAATGACAACAGGTGACACACAAACACGGAAGGCAGAATTCTCCCAAGGCTCCATCTCTAGATGAAAGAGCTATAAGCAACTAATGTCTACTGAGAGAGAAAGAATCAACCTTCCCTAAGGTTGCTTATCAAATATCACGTGATTGGTCATAAAATCATATGCCTATGAACAACTCTAATGGACTCACAGGTTGTATTTATATATTTATTCATATCTGTAACAATAATAACTAAAGAAAAGAGGCCACAAATTTGAGAGCAGGGGGTGACACGGGAAGTGTTGGAGAGAGGAGAGAAATAACATAAATAAAATGACATAAATACTACATATATGAATCTTTAAATAGATGCAGAAATTATAAATTAGGATATATTTGAATTGTTTTAACAATACATACTGTACAACTTACAAGTCCAACCAGATTTGTTGTAAGCCACGGAACAGATGGACCACACACCTTTGCTATGCACCTCTCCTCTCCTTCCCTCTCTACTAGTCGTCATGTGAGTGAGGACAGAAGTTGGAGATGAAAAAGCCTGGATGCCTAGCCGCTCTGCCAGGGACACGAACTTGAGGAAACCAATTAAACTCTTGGTACCTCAATTTCTTCATCTGCCGAGCCATCTGTCACCAAAGCCTTTGAGACGATGGCTAGGGAATGACTCACTTCACCTCACAAACCTTCTCCTTTCCTTACTGGGCTCACACCTGACTCTGAGACGAGGGGGAAGAAATGGTTCTAGACATATATATTTTAAAAACTTCTGGTACATTAATAGCTCCTGGTCATCATGAATGGTACTTTAAGTATATTGCTTAATCGCTGTTAAAATTAGTCATTTATAGTTGCCACATTTCAGAAATTTAATTATAAAAATATAAAAATTGCTGGGAAGACGGCTCAATTGGTAAGTGTTTTTCTGCAAGCATGAGGGTCTGCTTTCAGATCCTCAGCCCCCACATAAAAAGCCAACATGGATGTGCAGGCCTGTAATGCCCCCACTGAGGAGCAGAGACTGGGAGATCTCTGGAGTTTGCAAACCACCCAGTCTAGTCAATTGTTCAACTCTAGGTTCAGAAAGGGACTCTGTCTCAAAGAAATATGGTGGGGAGGAGACAAAAGAAGACACATTATTTTGACTTTGTCCTCCTGAGGGGTATGCATGGACATGTGAATCTACATGCATGCACCATACACATGCACACGTGGAAAGAGAAATTCTGATCCAGTTATAGGAATCCAATTTTAAGCTATTTTTTCTTACCTAGTAGTAAACAGAAGAGGGCGCACTAAGACTAGAATTCAAATCCTAGTCTTACCTATTGCTACACCAAGCAATTTCTAAATCAGTGGTTTTCAACATGAGGGTCATGAATGTTTCACAGGGGTCCTATATCAGATATGCTGCATATCAGATATTTATATTGTGATTCATAACAATAGCAAAATTAAAGTAGTATGGTGGTTCTCAACCTGTGGGTCACCTAAAACCATTAGAAAACAGATATTTACAATTTATAACAATAGCAAAATTACAGTTAAGAAATTAAAATTATGAAGTAGCAATGAAAATAATTTTATGGTTGAGGGATCACCACAACATGAGGAATTGTACTAAAGGGTCCCAGCATTAGGAAGGTTGAGAATCACCCCTCTAAGCCATCATTACCTAAAATATGCAAACTATTTAATGATTTATATCCAACACAGTTACATCTACAACAGTAATAATAGAAGTTTAGGCTATTAAAGTCAGAGACACAGTAAGAAGTGAGTCTTGAGTTATCATTCAAGGATCTGAATATAGACTAATTTATTTTAATAAATGCAGTACAAATTCCTTTAATGATATTAACACAGTATGTTTGCTCTTTTTTCCATTACACATGTAGTTTTAAATGACACTCACATATCTAAGAGATACACAATTCTTTGTAAGGTTTCTTTATGTATAATAACATCATTTTAATGTTGAAAATATTTGATTGTAGAGAATGAAGTTATTTTCCTTTGGTTAAAATACTTCTTGCTTTCTCCTCATTGCTAAAATTTAGGACTTATGCCCAAGGTAATCCAATGGTCAACTGTTTCAATTACCAGTCACTTATCATATGACCCAGAGTGTAATTTTTCTGATAATTATATCTATTTTATCTATCCAAAATTGTATCTATGCTTAGATAGATAGATTTTTCTCTATCTATAATTTTATCAGTTCAGACCTCACAACTGACACGTTGGTAATTTGACAAAGTTCCACCAGACATTGTACAAACCATTTCATGACTTATATCCAACAGTAACATCAACAACAGTTAAAAAAAAAAAAAGAAGTTTAGGGTTTGCGTGCTTCAGTCAATAAGAAGAATTGAAGCATAGAAAGAAGAGAAATTAATCCCTCATCAATCAGCCTTTATCATATTTCCCATAAGAAAGCAAAAATAGGCAACCAGATATTTTAATTTATATTTAAATGCCTCTGTTTATCTGTGGAACTCCTGAAGCAGAATTTGTCTTACTCCACTCGGAATCTCTAAGAATTCTACTGCGGTTCCGGGTGGTTGAGCAGATTCAGTAGAGTAAAAACACAACTTCCTTACACAGTAGCTATAATAGCTCAGCTGCTAAATGATAGTGGCTGTCTTCATTTCTAATACTGCATGAACTTTATCAATGAAATTTTTGTTTGATACTATCAATCACATGCAGGAACCTATGAACTAGAAGATTTTCATATGAAAGCTTTCTCGGTAATAGAATCAATAGTTTGCTATAAAATGAAAGCACCAAGAAAAAGCCAAATTCTAATGAACCCCAGGACTTTTTTTTATCACTTCCAGGCATTTTGTGTCATAAGTCAGAGTTCATTCAGCCCTCAAACCTATTGCAATAGATCCTTTCATTGTTACCCTTTGAATCATAAAGACATGGAGAGACGTCTTAATTATCTCAAACTCCCACAGCTGGTGATTAACAGGTGATGCATTTGACCACAAAAGCCTGAATTTCCACTCGTTACCCTTCACTTCTCAAATCTTTTTTTTTAGATTGACTTAATTCCCATGTATATGTACATGTGCTTACACAAGTTTTCGCACACCACATAAGTGTAGGTGTAAGTTCCCGAGGGGTTCAGAAGGCATCAGATCCTCGAGAACTGGAATCACAGGAAGCTGTAGGCCCTCTGATGTGGGTTCGAGGAACCAAACCCAGGTCCTTTGCAAAATCTGTAAGTGCTCTTAACCACAAAGCTGCCCCTTCAGCCCCCTTAAATCTTTTCCGAATTAAAGTTGTTCAAATATTTTTTTGCAGTGGGATTGAAACATCTGATAGATTTTAATGCATTGGTAAACATATTCATTGTGCACATACCACAGTCCTAAGAGAAAGCTTTAATATGGAAATCACCTAGTAGTGGTTCCAGGCCGGTCTGTGCTCCATAACAAGATGGTATCCAAAAATATAAAACAAGGGAGTGGGGGGAGGATGAATGGCAAATCAAAACAAAAACAAAAATCTCAAACAACTTCAAACATTATTCCAGGTGTTATAACAGGCATTTTAAATTTTGTTTTCAATTTATTTATTTAGATTGATTTTTCTTCATTTATTTATTAGACAGTGTCTCCCTATGCAGCCCCTACTGGCAGACCTGCTCACAGAGATCCACCTACCTCTGCCTCCTGGGTACTGGTCTTAAGGCTTGCGCCACCATGTCTGGCTGAAAGAAAATCTGAAATAGATTTGTCTGTGTCTAAATTCATGTTATTGGGAATTGAAATGAAATTCTACCGAATCTGCATACCCGTTTGGATAACAGTTAGAATGTTTGCTCTGTTCAGACTTCTAGCCTGAAGCGGGATGTGTCATTCTGGGTCATTTTCATTTCTTTTATAAGAGATATTGAAGGTTTTCAGCACAGACTCTGTGTTTGTCTCGGTAAGTCTACGGTGAGTTTTTATGTTATTTTACACAGATTTATATTTCTAAGCTCTGTTTCTTCATCTTTCTTGATTTCTTCTTCCATCTTTCTGTGGATCCTAGGACTTGAACTCAGGTCACCAGGTCTGACTCCTTTGTTTCTTTAAGTACTAGATCTGTGAATATTCAAGAGTAAAGTCGATGTCTGTTTTCATTTTCACCTCCTGGACACCTACCCCATATGCTGATAACAAATGATACTGATATTGGACAATTATCAACAGAAGATTCTTAATAATGCAGGAATAATAATTTAGGTGTTTTTATATTGATTCTCTTAACACTACTAACTGTTCAAAATATAGAAAGTATATCCGTATCCCATGTGAAAGAACTAAAATCCAGAAAAAGGCACATTGCACCCAAGCTTGAAAATTAAAATAACTATGCATATGATGCAATATTATTGATGTCCATATGAAATAAATTTAGTGGTTCAAAAAACAAGATTTTCAGAATGTTCTAATGATTATTATTCAATAAAATATCATCAAATAGTTGTTTGGACTCATCAGAAATATTAGTCTTTGACAATAATTTTTTAAATTAAAATTCAGTATAACAATATTAATAGAGCCCTAATTATAGTTAATGAATTAGAACTGAAGAGTACCTAAACTGAAAATCAATAATACACACAGAGTTCACATTCTTTGAATGCTGGGAAGGGCACACCAGAACACTTATTGAAGAAAGTCATGAGTTCTCCAATATTACACACCCGAAAGACTAAAAGTCACTAGCATTGCTAGCTGTAAAGAAGGTAAGTTGTAGACAAAGATCATGTCTTTATCTGTGCTTGTCAATTGCCAGCTTGACACCTACTAGAGTTACCCAGGAAGAGTTTAGGAGTTACTGAAGTCAGATTGGCCAGTGGTCATGTCTTTGAGCATTTTGTTGATTAATGATTGATGTGGGAGGATCCATTCCATTGTGGGCTGTGCCACCCCTGGGCAGGTGGTCCTAGATTGTGTAAGCTGAGAAAGCCATGAAAAACAAACTGGCAACAGTGGTCCTCTGTGTCTCTGCTTCGGTTCCTGCCTTAGCTCCTATCCTGGTTCTCCAAGATGATGGGCTATGATGTAGAAGTGTAAGCCAAATAGACCTTTTACCCTCAAATTGCTTTTGGTCAGCATTTTATCAACAGCAAACTAAGATGTTATGCCTCTAAGGCATGAGTTATGTATGCATTAAGGTGAGGAAAATTATTAGAAGTAAAGAAGTAATTAGAAGAGTTCACTGAGAGTTTTGTATTGTCTTCGCAAGATAACATCCTCTTTCAACAGAAGATCCTCCTGAAAGTACCAGGTAAATTTTCCATTTACCCACCCTTTTCCTTCAATAAATAGCATAAGGTTCCTGTTATATGCCACACACTGCCCTGTGTAGCAGAAACACAGGAAGAGCAAGGCTCACAGTACTCACACTTCAACCGCAAGCCTGTATTGCCATCCTTAGATGACATAGAAACTCACCACATTAGACCACTGGTTTCTTCGTCTGCTTTACATAATGAAAACCCCTATTCGCTGATGAGAGAGTTCCGTGAAGTTCCAAAGAGCACAAACGTTGGTAAGGCTGGTTGTCAAGATCCGCAGTCAAAAGAACAAGAATTATAGCCTTTAAACCCTTGAACTTGGTGCTAAATCACAAGTTGTCACTGTTGTATATTAAGCACAACCTGCCTTTCAGCTACTTAGCACCGTCACCTACCACCACCAGGTGTGGTGCATTTCCACTGTCCCTAGGAGTTGCTTAGTAACACATGCACCCTTTAAAAGGTCCCTCTGATTATCACAGCTCTTTCCCATTCTCTCTCTCTCTCTCTCTCTCTCTCTCTCTCTCTCTCTCTCTCTCTCTCTCTCTCTCTCTCTCTCTCTCTCTCTCTCTCTCTCTCTCTCTCTCTCTCTCTCTCTCTCTCTCTCTCTCTCTCTCTCTCTCTCGTTCTCTCTGCCTTGTTCATTCTCTCTGTCTCTCCCTGTCTGTCTGTCTGTCTCTATCTTCGCTTCCCTTCCCGCAACAAACCTTTTGGGTTAGATTGGATCTGGCGCACGGTGTGATCTCTTCGTGGCTCACCTTGCCCGGAACCCACAAAAGTACATTTCTGCAGCTTTATCCTAACAGTCACGTCACACAACCTCAGGATACATCTAGACAGAGAGGGGAAGACTCGATGGGGAATTTCGAGTATCTATCTGCCTTCTCTGAAAACCCAGGGGAAACTGAGGGTGAGTCACAGTTGAAACCCAGCAACCACAATAGACAAATAATATAAACGGCACTGCTCTCTGTCACTGAAGCGTGGTGATGTGCCTTTTTCTAAATTAAACTAGAGCCATTGCTTTAAGTTGGTAACTTTTCATACCCACCCAGATGTCTGTCCACAAATGGCCCCCATCTTACCTAAGGATTTTTTTTTTTACAGGGAGAAAATGAATGGTGGAGAGTTTTTAGAGACTAGAAGTACCATCAGAGTACCATTTATAGCACTGACTCATCGTCCTCCGTTACACACGCTGAGGATTTCCTCTATTTATAACATGGGGGTCATAGAATTCGCCGGTGAGAATGTGCGAACCCGCAGGTGAAACTTAGTACATGGAGCCCGGTACTCGGATGGTTGTTACAGTACGGCCCAAATTGGAACTGGCTCTGTGACAGACGTGAAATACTGTTGTCCTGCAGAGCAACTGCAGCAAGTCTGTACATTCCTCGCAGACCTGAGAACACAGTGGAAAGAAAGGTCAGTGCTCTGGTTTTCCCTAAGGCCGCAGCTGTCGCTGCTCAAGTGACTGTGGAATGTGAGGTGAGAGGCCCCCTCCTGGCTGGCACAGTCATTGTCATCAGGGAGACAGATCACAGAGCCTCTATCATTTCTGCCTTGGACCGTCGCTCGCACATGTCAACAGACGACCAGAAGGCTGCCGGGAGATTAGAAACCTGAAAGACAGGAATGGTGGGTCCAGTCATGGAAGTTCAGCCATTGCTGATGAGCTTAGGAAGACCTAGGACCTCGAGAAAATTGCACCTGAAATTTTCTTAGGTTTTTACCAAGCGACAAAGAAACCCAAGCAAAAGAAACTTGGTGCTGAAATGTATATGTATGGGGTGGGGGATGGAATGGTTAGAAAGAACATGTCTCTATTGGCTGAGTAGGGTAGAAATTTAAGAATACATGAACAGAGTATACGTTTCTTCCCTTTTCAAGACCTTGGTTTTTTTGTTTTTGGTTTTTGTTTTTGGTGTTTTTTTTTTTTTTTTTTTTTTTTTTTTTTTTTTTTTTTTTTTTTTTTTTTTTTTCTAGCAGGATTTCCTGGTCACATCATCAGGGACAAAGTAAATATGCCCCATTTTGACTTAGTGACAAGAATCATTTCCTGTAAGGTTCTTCCAGAGAAGAAGAAAAAGAAAAAGAAAAGAAAAAAAAAGACCCCACACAACCCAAAATAGCCAAGAACAAAGTGCCATGTAAAATTTTGTCAGGAAGGTTTTCAAGAAACGTGAGCATGTTTCTCTGGTTTGCTCTTAGACTGACTGTTTCAGTTTTGCTTCGTGTTGCTTCTTAGCCACGTAAACCTGGTTGTTGCTCAACTATATCCCACTACCTGGAGTGCTTGGGGCTGTGTCTGCTTCCCAGACTTGTTCTTAAAAACCCCCTGTTTGTCTCCATTTCCCACCCCCTCCGTACATTTCATCGTCATCCTGAGTACTCCTCTGTTGACCGACCGAGCTGTCTAACTTAAAAAGGGAAACGTGCCATTTTTCCACACACCAGAAGAGGAGAAACACATGGAACTAGATGGGCCATTTGCCTTTCCGTTTCAACAATTCTCTTGCTTTCACTGTGGCCTTTATTTTCTCCACTGGTTCTTTAATGCCTTCATGGAGCACTATTCAGATTTGGGGAGAGGTAGGTAAGGATCCCAGATTTTATGTCTAAAGTATCCTTGTCACGTCTTTCCACCAGGAAGTCCTTATAGTGTTCAGCTGGTAATGGCTTCCTTGGACAAAAGTGCTCACGCTCCCCTCCCACCCACCTACCCCCACTGTCCTCCGTCCTGGTCATACTGAAAATCCATCTCTTAGTCTGTCAAGTTAGTACTCACCTGCATGTGCACTGAAGCGGCATTTACTCCAATGTCTTGTCCTGATATAAAATAGTAATGAAAGATGTAGGCAAGGGCTAAATATTAACTGTTTATACAATATGTTTTCTGTAGAGGAAAAAAAATGTTACAACTAGTATAATATGTGATGTTTTTATGGAGAACTAAATTTCTACAAAGCTCTTTACGTCATATGACATGTTTCTGAATGTTTCATTAGATGGTAATATTCCTAGATATATTCTAACAGAAAGAGCAGGAAAGTATTGTTAGCTCCTGGGAAAGTGTAGACCCTGGTAAGGTGACCCTCTCCAGTGGACTACCACACATCCAAGAATATTTGGGCAGCACAAATTATTCTTGAAAGATAAAAGAGAGAGAAAGACAGAGCAGGAGTAGAGTTGGGTAGGTAGGTAAGGAAGGGAAATGAACTAGGAGAGACATGGGGATAAATATGATCCTAAAACACATTCTAGGAAACTCTCAATGAACTACCAAGATATTCTTTAAAGGAAATTTAATGTACTCTGTACCAACCACATACATTTCCTAAATGCATCACCAAGTATTGAAAACAATGGTAGATTTAAAAGAATTACTTCATGTTATTTGGGATGGGGTGTTGATAATAGTTAAGCCAGAAAAGGCCCCTGTGACCAAGTCTGAAGGCCCCAGCTGGATCCCTGTGACCCATATAATTAGAAGAAGAAAACTAACTTCCACAAGTTGTCCTCTGACCATGCACCACATTATACTCATAAATAAATAAATGTTTACAAAGCTTTTTTAAAAGTGTTATGGCATAGAGAAAAGCCAGTAAGGCAAGTCATTTTCTAGGAAATGGAGGGAACTGGAGACGGTGTTAAGAAAAATGAGTCAAACACAGAAAGGTAAATACCACATGTTTTCACCCAGAGGCTGCAGTTGAAGCTGGAACAATCTTTTAAACATTATAAAGACACAGGATTGGCACCGGTTATGATAAGCTTCAACATACTTGAGGCAAAATATAGATTAAGTTTGTGACGAGGAACCTGTACCTTTGAAAATTCTTTTTTTTTCCCTATTTGTTCCTATCCATGGCTGAACCTGGACATTATATTACATACTCTTAGAGAAATTAGACTCTTGAGAAAAAATTCCTGATGGTTTCATTAAAAAAAAAAACTAGTATGTGGGACCTGATTATTATTGTAGAGAAAACATACTCTAACCTCACTCAGTGCAGCCTAAGGAATGTTCAAAGTAGAATTTAAAGAACCAACAAAGATGAACCTAGTATCCTAGCTTACGTCTGCTCCTTCCCATTATATCCAAAGACACCCATCCTCTTGTCCTAGGCAATATCTTAGCCATGTATAATGCAAGTGAAAGGTAAGTCTTTTTTTCTTTTTTTTTTTAAACTGGATTTGTCAGGCTAGAAAAGAAAAATCATGCTTAAGAAAAACCATCCCCTGTGAGTAATCCATGCCCTTGATGAGGTTTGGTTTTTACTGACTACACACACACACACACACACACACACACACACACACACACACACACACCCCTTGGGTTTTTAAAGACTGACTTCCAGAGCTACATTCCTTACGCTGTTATCCCATGAGCCTCTGTGCACACCTTCTCTCCATAAAATGCCAGGATTCTGGAGATTTCTATCCGTTAATCACAGCCTAAAGGCCAGGCATTTCTCTGCTAATTGCTCTCTAGTCTTATCTCAAAGTTTTCTTTTTCTGGGATTCATTGGGCTGTTCCTTTGTCCTGGGGTTTTCCTGTATGGTTACCCTCCGGGCCTGACCTGTTCTGTCCTCTGTCCACTTTACCAAGCTTTCTATTTCCTTTGGCACCCTTCCTCTTCCAGCAGAAAGCCTCCCTCAGACAGAGATTCTGGTTATTTTCTTCCTTCCCGGGTAAGCCCTTCCACTTCCTTCCGTCAGCCTCGTTTATTGTGACTGACTTACCCAGTGACCCCTAACTCCATCAGCCCCCACATTTCTTCCTGTTTTCAGACGATGGCACGGCCGGCCACCCAGTCTGTGAAAACAGATAACAACGCGAGCTCTCTTCCCTCCCAAGCTGTCTTCAGCCTCAGCAACTAGACTGTCCCCCATGGCTCTGAGTCTGCACGATCCTCTCTGCTTTCTCTTCAGTTTCCCTGAATCGCCCCTTCCTTATCACACTTACCAGGGGCCAGATTTGCATTTCCTTCCTCTGCCCTATCTTGGGCATCTACCTTTTCCTCCCCATGCAGATACCTGAGGCAGAGGTTCTTCTCTTTCACTAACGTATCTCTGACCTTTCCTGTGGCAGAAAGTCTTCATTTTCAGTTTCCAGTTTAAAAAAAAAAAAAAAAAATGGATGGCCATCCCTTCCTACATCTGCATTTTACGCCAGCTCTCCTTTTCGCTCTGCACTGAATTCTCTGTAATTCGAACATGTTTGGAAGCATAGCCTCCAAGGCTCTTTGCAAACGGCGCCTGTCTTCCCCATGCTATTTCCCTTTCTCATGCAAAGGAGAGAACTCTCTGCCAGCTCTTCATAACGCCCCCAGAGTATCCCGAGAGCCTCACCGGTGAAATTCCAAGACTGGGTGGCGGGCATCAGTGCCAGCTAATAAAACTCCTGTGATGCCTATGACGACACGAGTCTTCTGTGCTCTTCGATATGACAGCGCTACACAGGAGTGACTACTAGCAGCTGACACATGGCTGGCGCATCTGACGCATGTGTCCAGCAGCTACTGTATTAAACAGCACGGTGTAAGTGTACGTCCCGCATGTAAACGATACTATGTGTGATTAACCTAGTGAACATACTATAGGCTTTTCATCACACGCACACACACACACACACACACACACACACACACACACACACACACAAACACACACATACAAAGATGATAGCAAAATAATAACAGACCACATGCCGGGCGATGGTGGCGCACACCTTTAATCCCGGCACTCAGGAGGCAGGTGGATCTCTGTGAGTTCGAGGCCAGCCTGGACTACAGAGTGAATTCCAGGACAGGCTCCAAAGCTACACAGAGAAACCCTGCCTCGAAAAACCAAAAAAAAAAAAGAAAGAAAAGAAAAGAAAAAAGAAAAAGAAACAGACCACATAATCAAAATTAGATTTTAATATAAACATTGTGAAGATACCTTGCCAACTTAAAAATGACTTCATTAAAAACTCAAGAACGCCTTTAATCCCAGCACTTGGGAGGCAGAGCCAGGTGGATCTCTGTGAGTTCGAGGCCAGCCTGGTCTACAGAGTGAGTTCCAGGAAAGGCGCAAAGCTACACAGAGAAACCCTGTCTCGAAAAACCAAAAAAAAAAAAAAAAAAAAAAAAAACCAAGAAAGCTACACAGAGAAACCCTGTCTCGAAAAACCAAAAAAAAAAAAAAAAAAAAAAAAACCAAGAACACTGCGTTATGCTCCTAAATAATCTGTTAATTGTCTTTTCCCTATTTCCCACAATTTGTAATGCCCAGAAATCAAGTCATAGACAGTTATAAACTGAGTGGGTTTTTTAATCACCAAACTCTACCAAAAACAAAAATATATTTTAAAAAAATCTCTAAAATTATTATAGCAAAAATAAATATTTAATGTGGGATATTTTGTGACATGAGGTAATGAGACCTCTACAAGAGTAGTTAATCTGTATATTGAACTGATAGCGTGGGTTTCATACACACACACACACACACACACACACACACACACGTATATATGTATATATATATAAAATATGTGTGTATGCATATATATATGTATGCATACACACATATATATCCAGCTGTTTCACCCAATTCAAAGTGTGCTTCAAACACACACCCAGTCTCTCTTGTTCCTTTTCCTCATGCCTGCTCTTAGCCTTGCAGGACAAGGCAGAATGCTATTCCCACCTTGCTTCCCACTCACTTCATCCTCGACCAAGAAAGACTTCACACTCACACATAACCTTTAGCCTGCCTTCCGACTTCATCTGACTGCCCTGGGACTGTGCATGCTTGGCTCATCCTTCTCGGACCACAAACCCCGGCCCTCTCTCCTCTCGGAACTGGATTTGCTGGTGTGAGTAGGTATGAGGAACTCTTGAACTGCAAACCAGACTGTTAAGGTATTATAGCTGGGTGTTTTACCTTTCTATACTTTTAAAGTAGAATTTAAATTGTCTAAAACGTCAGCAATAATGGGTAATTTTGGTATTGCCTCTGCTGGACTTACGCAGACTCTGCATGTTATGATACCTGGAATCACAGATATGAAAATATCATCTGGTTTAGAGAAAAGGCTAATTGCTTATTGAGGAAGTATTTGGGGTGATTTTCCTGTAAATTAAAGTCATACTAGAACAGTGGCTCTCGTCCTTCCTGATGCTGTGACCCTTTAACACAGTTCCTCATGCTGTGGTGACCCCAGACCATGAAATTATTTTTGTTGCTACTTCATAACTGTAGTTTTGCTACTGGTATGAATTGTAATGTAATTTCTGTGTTTTCCAATGGCCTTTGGCGACCCCTGTAAAAGGGTCGTCCAAAGGAGTCGCGACCCACAGGTTAAGAACCACTGAACTAGAAGGACGTAGGTTTTGAAAACATGTGTTTAAAATGAATGGTTTCTCATCCTGTTCCAAGCCTTGGTCTTGGTTGGTGGGGATAAAATCAAAGCCTGGTCCAGTGACCAGGTTCATTTCTTCTTAATTTCCTTTTTGTGTTTTTTTTTTTCTGCTTCAATATATTGTCTGTGTGAAACTGAAGTCTGTCACCTATTATTAAGCTGTCAAACCAATTTAGTGTTGTAGTTCCACAGTGTAGACCACAGAGCCCAGGTAGTTTTCAGGGAGTCATTAGGTTAAAAGCACTCTCATAATAACGCTGAGACACCACTTGTTTTGTCCACAAGGATGCTACTCCCTGCACCGATGTCACAAAGGGCATTGTGGGTAAAATTATAGATCCTAGGCAGTGCAATCAGACTGTACAAGCAGCCATTGTATCATTCACAGTTTAAAAGTGTCAGTTTTACCTAGGTATGTCCCTGGCAAAATGGTAAACGTGTTTCTGCTATTAAATCTAACCCTAAAGCACATTTCTTTAACATTCTTCATGGCAAAATTAAAACATTTAGTAAGATTGCCTATGGAGAACTATTGTGACGATTTAATATGTCGACCCAATGGACTCTAAAAAAGCAAACATCTAGCCGCCTCTGTGAGGCAATGTTGAGATTAGGTCACGTAAGATGAGAAGACCTGTGGCAACGGCGGGTGTCACTTTCTATGGTTGGAGTTCTGACTGACGGTGGGTGTCACTTTCTATGGCTGGAGTTCTGACTGACGGTGGGTGTCACTTTCCATGGCTGGAGTTCTGACTGAATACAAAGGAGGAAGCTAGAGACGCTCAGCATCCATCACTCTCTGCGTCTTGACCACAGACACAAAGTAACCAGTAGTTGCCTTCGCATCCGCACACCAGGCCTTCTCAGCCAGGAGGGGCGGGGCCTTCCAACCGCGAGCCAAAGTAAGCCCTTCTTCGCTCCTTCAGCTATGTTTACGGGGCATTTTGCTGTAGCAAAGAGACAAGTCATGAATACAATTACTGTGCAACCAAGTTGTGAGCGGAACTGCATCCGTTACAGATGAAACAGCCTTTTTATTTGAAAGAACTATTGGAAATTGTTACGCCGGCTGCAGAATTGGACACTTTTCGGGACCAGGAGCACACTGTGGACTGGGATAAAGTTCCAGTGTCCAGCAGAGAGTGGAACATTAGAAAACCTGAAATAAAACTCCCGCTGTAGACTTGATAGCTTCCTGGTAACTTACTGACTTTTCTAATGAGTCGGTGACACTAACAAATGTGACTTCGAGGTATCATAAAGTTAAGTTGACAAACATTTGGCAATCTGTATCCCACAGTGAAAAGCTTTTCCTGACGGTCAACGCATGGTGTGCCAAATTGCTTATAGCTAAAAGAGCCACTCAAAGTTCAAAATAGGTGGGTGGGGCATACTGGTAATAATCCAGCTACTTCAGAGACTAAGACAGAAGTACAGCCAGGTCATTGTCACATTTTCAGACTCTATGGTGCAAATAACGTTTTAGAAATCACGCATTGAAGCCGGGCGGTGGTGGCGCACACCTTTAATCCCAGCACTCGGGAGGCAGAGGCAGGTGGATCTCTGTGAGTTCGAGGCCACCCTGGGCTACAGAGTGGGTTCCAGGAAAGGCACAAAGCTATACAGAGAAACCCTGTCTCGAAAAACAAAAACAAAAACAAAAAACAAAAAACAAAAAAAATCACCCATTGAATGTGGATGGGGTAACAAAGAATATCCACAAGACCTGCTAAGCTTCTCATCCCCTGGTGACACTGAACCCACTAGCAGGTTGTGTTTGCACATTGATCCATTTATACGAATTTTTTTTAAGATTTTTATTATTTATGTATATGAGTGCTTTATCTGCATGTACAACTTTATGCCAGAAGAGGGCATCAGATCCCACTAAAGATGGTTGTGAGCCACCATGTGGTTGCTGGGAGTTGAACTCAGGACCTCTGAAAGAGCAGGCAGTACTCTTAACCACTGAGCCATCTCTCCAGCCCAACAGCAATGGTTAAAAAAAAGAGGCAGCCTTACATTTGAGAGGAGGTGGAGTCTGACTTGGGATGGACAGGAGCAGTGAGAAGGAAGAAATGATGTAAGTATATTTAAATTCAATGAAGAATTTCTTGGAACAGCAAGGTATAACTAATCTGTGGAAATGCCAAGATAAAAGGTTAAAAGTATTTTCCTGTTTCTTTTTCCTTTTTCTCCAGTCTTCTATTTGCAGACTGTCCCAATGGTTCTACTTACAGAACAGAATAGTGGCTATCAGATGCCACGGAAAGTAGGATGAATAGAAGGTTGGGACATTGACCAATGGATACTAAATTTTAGTGACACAGGGAAAACAAGCGATTTGTAAATAATGCACTGTGGAGGACTGTCTTAGTTACTGTTCTATTGCTGTGAAGAGAGACCCACCACGACCAAGGCAACTCTTATAAAGAAAGCATTTAATTGGGAACTTGCTTATAGTTTCTGGGGGTTAGTCCATTATCATCGTGGTGGGGAGCATGGCAGCATGCAATCAGGTACTGGAGCAGTAGCTGAGAGCTATATCCTGACCCATAAGCAGCAGGGGAAGAAAGAGGAGACACAGAGAGAATGGGGGAGGGAGGGAGAGAAAGACTGGGCCTGACCTTGGCTTTTAAAACTTCCAAGTCCACCCCAGATGACACACCTCCTCCAACAAGACCACATCTCCTAATCCTTTCCAAACAGTTTATCAACTGGGAACTAAGCAAGCAAATGCATGAGCCTGTGGGGACCATGCTCATTCAAACCACCATAGTGACTGTAGGTAAACAGAATATATTGGATATTCCTAAAAACCAAGAAGGAAAATATTGAATGTTTTAACAGCAAGAAGTAAAAGTTTGAGGATGGATGGATAGATAGATAGATAGATAGATAGATAGATAGATAGATAGATGATAGGTAGATAGATAGATAGATAGATAGATAGATAGATAGATAGACGATAGATAGGAAATAGATAAGTTCACCTTGACATGAACTTTCTACAGGGTAAGCCTGTACATTACATGGTACCTCATGAGCATCTCCACTTTCTTGTTTTTTGTTTTGTTCTTATTGTTGTTGTTATTGTTTTGTTTGGTTTGGTTTGGTTTGGTTTTTTTGAGACAGGATTTCTCTGTGTAGTTTTGGTGCCTATACTCTTTCTCTCTCGCTCTGTAGACCAGGCTAGTCACAAACTCACAGAGATCCGCCTGGCTCTGTCTCCCAAGTGCTAGGATTAAAGGCGTGCACCACTGCCACCCTGCATACATCTCCACTTTCTATGTATCAACTCAATTCCTTTTAAATTTAAAGCATAAACTTAACAAAGGATAGTACAAAAGCCATATACAGTCAGTGGAGATCATATTTCAAATACTGACTTTTGATTCCCTCCCCCACCCCCCACCCCCACCCCCGGAGAGCACATGCAGTATGATGATCTTCTGTAAAGTTGGAGAGTAGCAGTGAGCTGCAGAGCCCACTGAGATGCATGGTCACAAGGAAACAGCCCTCACCCCATAGGGTACTGTGTGACTAACCTATGAGATGCAGAAAATTAGAGATTTATATTTTATGCATTTTCAACATATGATATTTATGCTTTGTTAGAATATAACCCTGCCATAAGTCAAATCTGCCCACAGTTTCTTCGTATATTTCAAACAAAATAACATACCTCATGTGACAATACTTA